CTCAAGACTTGACCAATTGAGCAATCCTTCATGGTTAAAACTAAAATGTTTCTTATATTCCACAAAGGCTCATAATTTCAAATATGAATTGCACAAGCGTGTCATCAAAGACATGTTGGGTGAAGTGAACAATATATTAAAGAAGAATTATAAAGAATGAAACGATGTTAAAATTAATAGTATCAAATTGCGTGTGCTACTGCATATTTGAAGCAAAAATTGTATGAACTGCTTTACAGCCTTGACACGAGTATATCCTGAGTCTTAGCACAGTCACATACACCACTGAAAGCACAAGAACAAATGAGTGATTCTAGATCATTATGAGAAGGAACGCATAAAATATGAAGGCGTCAAGCATTGCATGAAATTCATATATGAGTCCTCTTTCTACTAACACAAGTTTTTAGACGAAGTGATTCAAGATAACATGAACAGCCAAAGGTCCCAAGATTAAGCAGCCTCACCCATTTATGCAAAATGAAAACTCATCAAGTGTTGGATAAAAAATGGAACCTAGTCTAGAAATAACCATCTCGAAGGGCTTGATTCATCATCTTCACTTTCAAAGAACATAATAGAGCCCTTGCTTGACAGCCATTATTTTCAATTTTTTTCTTAGCATGCTCATTTTCAACCACACATTCACACAATAAAATATTCTGCACATAGATCCAAAACATTTCTCTATTTTTTAACTACACATTCTCCTAATAATCACAATTCAAAACTCCCTTTTCCCAAAACAATAGTTATCAAACAAGGGTTAAATAAGTTGGTAATTATGTAGAAGAACAAGGAATGCACAACAAAAGGTATTTCTATACTAACCAAAAACTAAACCAAATTTCATTTGTTGTATTCTACAAAGGTGAGTAATTTCTCCAGATTAAATAAAATTCAGGTGATAACCATCTCAATTCATATACCTTAATATCTGAAACCACATTACTTATTTCAGAAATACTAAGCTCGTATCAGCTTTCATCCTACACAGAAAGGCATATACAATGATCACAGGACATGCACTTACATGCTAAACAATAAGTGAAAAGCATCAAACACGAACATCACATCCCAGAAATATCCTAAGACCATTCAGCCCAAAACACTATTAAATCAAAGGTAAATTAACAAATCACGTCATTCTTAAAAACCATTCTTAATTTAGGATATCAAGATCAAGATAGTATCTATATTCAAGCACGTTAGAGGTAGTTATTCGAGTACACCATTCCATTCGACAATATTAGCCATGTGGTACATAGTTTTCATTTCATAAGCTTGGAATTAGAAAATAGGAAGTAATATTGCATTTAGTAGGTTACTTCCATAAGCTAAAAGACAAGTAAATATCTCAATTTTGAGGCTCAAATTATGTACATCTATTGGATTAATCCATATATG